ATTGCAAGTGAGGCAAATTACTATTATTATTAATGGATCTATGTGTTACAATGCAAATATATTTAATTGTTCCATCCATAAGCAATAAATCTAAATAAGGTGTTAGGTTTCAATTTGAAAACAAGCAAATTATTGATTTAAATATTAGAATTATGTAGGTTCATAAATAATTTTATTTATTCTTCTCTCTTGACCAACTAATTTTTATGTAATTTTGTTAAGTCATCAAAAATTGACTTGAAAGAGCATGACTTTGCATGCGTAGTTGAATTAAAAGCCTCTAGAATTAAATTTAGGGCTATTTAAACTCCAATTTTAGTGAACTTTTAGTTGAATTGAACGTCTCTACGAGATCAACCCAACGAAATCAAAAGTGGCATGATCCTAGTCTGAATGAGCCAAAATTAAGCATTTAAAGCATAATTAAAAACTTTGAAATATTAATTATATGATCAAATGATCTCCAAATCTCTCACGCTTGGAATGAAATCAAGCATTTCGATGGATGAATATAACAAGCTCAAGATCATCTAATTTTAATATTATTAATAGACTTAAATGCTAAAAAAAATATATGATTAAGGGAATCAATACAAGCCATCAAATATGTTGTTCTTGATTTTGACTATATTTGTGAGACATGTCAATCTCAAATATATGTGATGGGCTCTTATTCTCTACATGAAAGATGTGAGCACCTTAGCTTAAGATTTAAGAAAGCTTAGAGGTATAAAAAATTATTAATTGAGCTCCACCCGAGCACTATTGTTAGACAATTGCTGCTCAACCTCCATCATTAGACCAGCGCAACTCAAGAATATATATATATATATATATATATATGCGATCACCTTTACCTGTTTGAGATCCTTTGACCACCTCGCCCAAATATAATCCTCAGACTAGTGTTGCTTGATCACACTAACTCTCGCTGACTTCATCACATTACGTCGCTAACAATGACAATGCACGCTCCATCGCCCATTAAATTGATGCACCTATTGATATTAACTTTGACTCCCAATGTCAAAACCGAGATTTATGTTGAATAATAATAATAATAATAATAATAATAAAAGAAATAATCCCTTAAAAATAGCTTATGTTTCACAAGGCTCTTCAACTTCCACCACGAAATATATTCTATATGTTATATGTCTCATGTATTTTATCAACATCTTCTCTAATCATAGAGAAAGGGAATCATTTGTAAATGCTGGTTAAATTATGTCAATTAAGTCAAGCCCTAACATTTTTTTTTTTTTTTTGAATTTTTCATGTAAAACTTTGCATATGTTGGATCTTCATACAATGCTAAAATGTCAATATTTTATCTCTACCACCTTGAATATGGTGGCGCGCAACAAATTTAATGTTATATTTAAGATTTGATAGGTCCACCATATTTTTATGTTGGACTAATGATAATTTGTATATTTAAAATGTAGATTTGTAGCAAATTACTTACCAATATTTAAATTTAGGGGTTTTGAATAACTGTATATTTCTAATCACAGCCAGTGAACTTAAGAATTTGTATCATTATAATAATTTTTCATTAGAATATAAGTTGTCAAAATTAAATAGGTTTCCTCAGCTATAAAATTTAAATTACTTCAACAAATTTATTTAATTTTGTAAAAAGCTATACAATTAAACTTCATAAAATTATTCTATCTTCATTTAATAAACAATATCATTTTATGTGAACTATAATATTAAACTGCTGGTGAAGTTCTTTATATTATTCAGATTCATTACACAAAATTCTTTTGAACTGATGTTGCTATATTAATATGAATATCTTATGATAATTAATCACAAATCATCATGTGAAATCAATTAAAATCAAGCTAAATTTGAGCTTTAGAATTGAGCTCGAGCATACTATCAAGCTAGCCAAGATTGAGCTTAAGCTATAAGCTCAAGTCCAGATCTAAGCAAAATAAACCATACTCGAACCGAGCACAAGTAAGTTGTAACTCGAGCTTGACTTAACCTATTTATACCAATGCACCAACTATTGCTTGATATTTGACATTTCCAATCAATCATTATCGGTTGGCTACAATGATTGATGTATATCCACCATTGACATCCAGTACTTCCCTTTCTAGTCTTTAGTCCTCACTAATATAAAGAAGACTTAGTGGATCATTGATCATTGCCAATATATGACGCTCCCCATTAACTATCATATGAAGAGAATGACTTAGTGGATCATTGATAATTTCCAACATATGACGTTCCCAATCAACTATCACCAGAAACCAACTAATGACTAACACCTGATGTCCACCAACTACCGACATTTGATGCCTGACTTACAATAACCCAATGTTCACTCCTATTAGTAAAGTGATTGTGGTGATCAGTACCATCATTTGATGACAATTTGAACATCTCAAAAATCTCTGCTATTATTATAAAAGATATCATACATAGTTTGTATCTACCGTTGAATTCAAATTTATCAGTAGATGATATATAATCTAACTAGCAGTCCGACTATGAGACGATGACTTGAAAACCTATATATAAATAGAGAGAGAAAATAGTACACTAAGACAAATATCTGTAATACAAGTGCAAACATATGCTCAAAAATCTAAAATATCCACAAGATTCAAGATATTCAAAATGCTTATGTTCACCTTTTATTTCTAAGACTTTGAAGTGTAAAAGGAAGGCTACATCAAGAAATGAACAAAAAGTCATATGACTCCATGACTCTACATATCGCCTTACATAAGTGTCACACTCTAGCTAGTAGAGGGAAAGGACCTTACTTGAGCAGTTGAACCTGATTCATTTATCTATGAGTGAGCTCAGTAATGCCAAGTATATATAGACGGGTAAGTGTAGGCAAGTCGCATGGCGATTTTTGAATGGTGAGGGCTTAACTGGGTTGCTGCCCTTGAATCACTATTGACATTTGTTGTAGCTCTATGATGCCTTGATGAGAGAGAAGAGTGAGCTTAGGTTGCGGGTTTGATAGCCTACAAGATCGATTGACTATGACAGGGCAAATTGGGGTCTTTTTAGTATGCGTATTCACTCTAGTTGAAGAGCAGCAAGATTAATGGTACCCTGTCGCCATGAAGGACAATGAGTAACATTGATGACAAGTTCTTTATGGAGATTTGAGTGATGAATAAGGTGACCCTAATGGTCCTGAGCGGTGTGAGTGGGAGGTGACTCCCTGTTGAGCTCATTAAGGAGGTGTACCTCGTGACTTTTGGATAGATTTTTATGTGAGCCCAAAAAGTCTGAGTTATTCTGTCATAGTCTGCTAACTATATGTTGACTGCCTGAAAAGGCATATGCGAGTATGCATCTACCATATTATTCATTTCATGATTTTTGAAAAATATCATTTTATGTCATATATAACTTACATGAATAAAATTATTTCAAATAGGTCACATCTTATGATTATTATACTTAGAATTTTTCGGATTGGGTTGATCTTGGTGTCGTTGGGTTGGTATTTCCGAGACGCTCAGTTTGACTGTAAGCTCGCTGAAATCGGAGTTCGGGTGCTCTCTGAATTAATTTTTGAAGTTTTCAACTAGCATTTGCTTCGAGATTCGTGCCCGATCAAGCTAATTTTTGGAGTACGTATCAACTATATATTTAAAATTTTAGATCAATAATAATACCTAAACTATCTAATCTCACAAATATTCTAATTCAAAGCAAAGAAATAAAGGTAGTTCATATTGAAACTGATGGTCAACAATGGGCCAGGCCTTTGATGTATATTTTTTTCTCTCAAATATTAATCGTATTAATATCTTTTTTGGAAACCTCTCATTTTTCTTCTTATTCCAAAATTTAATAATTTTGAGAATAAAAAAAAAGGTAAGGAAATAGAAATTTTAACACCTGGATAGATTCTAAATCTCGTAGGAACTCAGTAGCATCAATTACTGCGAGAAGCTTGGTCCTTTTTTTATTTATTTCATTTTTGCACTTCCTTAAAGTCCTAGTACGAAGAAATTCTAGAGTAATTTCGGTCCAATTCGTAGAAATTTACTTGAAAGTGAAAAATTATTCCTTACAATTACCAGACGGTTCGGATGCGAATCAATAAGCGCCACGTCACCTATTACATAACGGTATCTAGTACTTATACATAGCAAAAAAGTGACGTGACGCGTCCAGATTTGCCTCCGGACAGCTTCCGTTGACCGCACAGAATAATTTCAAGTGAAAATGAGTCAGCCGAGTTTCCTAATTTTACGAATTCAATTCAGTTCGTTTATGACGAAAGAGAGAAAATGATTATGATTGAAATAATTATTTTTAATAGCTTTCTACTTGAACTTCATAACTTTAATATATATTTTACATATATTTTAGATTGACCTTTTTTAAACAAGCTGCAATGAGCTAACGAGTCGAGACAAAATTGACTCAAACTTGACTCATTAGCACGTCGAGCTCAGCTCAATAGCTCGAGCTAGCTCCTGAATCGGTTTAACTCACCTGGATCCCTATTAAAGATTACACCAATATTTATTTATTTTTGGAAATCAATAAGATTGAGGGTATTTTGTTACATGGTTTCAAATTAAATTGAAATTTGATTTAAAATCAATTTTGAATATTATCATAACTGAACTAAGCTGATGACTAAATAAAATCTTATGAAATCTAAAAAATAATTGAAATTTTTTAATTTTTTAGGAAGATTTACATAAAAACCAGACAATTCTTATCTATGTATGTATTAGCTTCTAAATTTTAATAATTATTTATATAATATTTTATCATCTCAATTATATAAAAAATATTAATTAAATAATCCATTTTATTTTAAAAAGTTAAACTTAATGATATTTTTATGTAATTGAAATTTTTTAATATTAACTATATAAATAAATAATAATTTAATAAGTATGTAAATTTCATAATTTTTTAATCAAAACTAAATATCCAATATTAAAAATGAGTGGAAGTCCCCAACAAATTTGTATGCAACAAAGCCCCAAAAATTATTCCAGAGAGAGTTTTTTTTCTTCATTGAAATTTTATTAAAGGAGAATATTGTCACGAGCTTAGTATAATTATAGCACTAATTGTTCTATAAAACAGACATTCCACAGTTGATAATATTTATTTACCCCTCGAAGAAGGTTAATTAGCAAGCACTTCCCAGATAATTTCCGGATCGAAAGAAGGCATTCTCGACAACCAGCACTCGCCGCCGTCATTCTCCTCGCCGCAGGCACCATCTCCGGTTACACGCTCGCCGGAAACAGAGGAAGATGAAGACGAAGACGAAGTTTCCGGTTGCTTACCCTTCGCGTCAGCTTTTTCCCTTTTCAACCTCTTCTGCTTAACAATTCGCTGACTGATGGCCTGAATCTTCGAATCAACGGCGGATCTCACCTCCCGAAGCTTATCCGAACACTGGCTGTCGGCGTCCCTCATCGCCGGAAAATTAAGCCGCGCGTATTCCCCGCGGAGCTTGTATGCGGCGCGGTCGTACGCGCATGCTGCTGCCTCCGCGGAGTCGTAGGTGCCGAGCCAAATCCGCATCCTATTACGCGGTAGACGGATCTCGGCGACCCATTTGCCCCATTGCCTTTGTCGAACTCCTCGATACAGTTTTTTCCTTGCGGCGGAGGAATGGGGCGAGGCTGAACGGAGCAGATCGGCGAGTTGGAGGTATATGGAGGAGCCGATGGGTGTATGTGGTGGTGATGCCGCCGGAGGCGGCGGCGCTTGCGGCGAGATGTGGGCGAAGACGGAGTCGAGGGGATTGGAGCCAGAGAGGATGATTTGAGATAGAGTGGATGGGATGTTCTCGGGTGAGGTGAACGGAGCTAGGGTTTCGGCGATGGGGAGGTTCATGATTCCGGCGAGAGGTATTTTGGGGATCAAAAGGGCTCTTTGGTGGCTTTTCGTTTGTTGAAGAACAGTCTCACCCCTGTATTGATCGTTTTATAGCAATTCCCTCAGCATTGGATCTTTCTATTTTCCCAAAGAAAACGAAAAACATTTATATTATTAATCGTTAAAAATAATTATTTAGACCCCACTTTTCAACTTATTACTTTTTAAGGACTGTTATCAATGCGATGATTGTTTTTGTGTAATTTTTTTTAAGAATCTTGTTAGTCTATAAGCCTGCATTGCAAGTCAAAACAAAATTAAATTATCAAATGTATTGCAATGTTTGAATTTGACATAAGGAGATTAAGAGTTGATCAAATGAAAATTAATTCAAAGTTAAAATTAATTGGCTTTTTTTGTCTAGAAAATTTGCGGCGGGAGAGTAAGAAGGTTTTCTAACCTAATTTTACATGAAGATCTATTGACCTCGCTTTTAGCATCGGTCACTTGCACGAGCTTATTACATATTTTGTAGGTCGATGCATTTGTCAGCACGTTGTGATCTTATGTATAAGAAATGTTAAATTGTGCATTTTATCTAGATTCGTCGTCGGCCTTATAATTCACTCCTTTTTTATCACGTGTTGTCCTCTATTTTGCTCTAAAATACATGTGGTGGGGTCAATATTGATTCGATGTGATTTCATGCGTTTGAGTCTTTACCATGCATCTTCATTTCGTATATAAAATCTTTTAATATGACCTCGTTTTGCTAAACGGATCACACATTACAGGACAACCAATTATTTGCAATAGATTTGCGGCAAGCTTTGCGACGGAAAAAAATTTTCAACAAAATTGTGGCGGATTTGCGCCGAAAATTTTCGTCACAGATTTTGTGTGCCGTGAGCTAAACCAAGATTTTCTTTGGGAGGATTTATGCTAAATCCTACGTAAATCCTATAACCAAACTATATGATTTACTAAATCCTTAGGGTTAATTATTCATAGATAGAATTCATGTTGGATGTTTGAAGTGTTGAATTCATGCTGAATGGTTAAAGTGTAGGAATACATTGGGCTTATTGTGTGATAGAAAAATTTCCCTCAAACTAAAGGAAAAATTCTTTAAGATGGTGGATGGGTGGCTTTTTAATCTTAGTATCTACTGTTCATGGTGATGGTATAATAGATAGAGAAATTATTACCAAAATTCATGTTGAATGGTTGAAGTGTATAGGAATACATTGGGCTTATTGTGTGATAGAATAATTCCTCTTAAACTTAAGGGAAAAAAGCCTATAAGATGGTGTGAGACCTATAATATTTTATGGTGTACGTATAATGTTGGCCATTAAAAGATAAGCATAATATTAAGTTAAGTGTTAAATAGATAAGGATGCTTAGGTGGATGAGTGGCTTTACTCTTAAGTTAAAAAAGATAGAGGTATAGACCTAAAAAGATCATAATATTAAATCAAGTGTTGCATAGATGAGAATGAGAAAGTAGATGGAGAAACTCCACAGGCAGCCAGGAGAGTTTAGTTAGCCAGCTTGTGATTAACTTAATAGGAGAGTTAGAAAATGTTTGAAAAACATAAGTGAACATGAGCACTAAGATATTGGAGGAGCTTAGAAGATTGAGCGAGCGAATTGGCTAAAATTAATCGGTACCTCCATCAGTCGAACAGGACAACTTTGTAAAATAAGCTGGCCTGACAGCTTTCGGTAGAGGACGGTGAACAGAAACAGAACAATGAAAGTTGGAAAGATAATTTCATTGATTTGTCTAGAGGATACAGTGCCGTATATATAGAAAGCTAAAGTAAAGAAAGTACACAAGATGGCTACAGGTACGTAAGAGACAAATAGTAGTACGCCACGTGGATATGTAGCTAACATCCCCCCTCAAACTCATGGATGGATAGCAGCAGTGAGTTTGGTTGAGAGGAGTTTAAATCTATGAGTTGGCAAGGCTTTGGTAAAGAGATCAGCAAGTTGGTCTTCGGTGGAGATGTGGTGAACTGAAATTTTATTTTTCTTGATGCAGTCCCGGATGAAGTGGCAATCTACTTCTATATGCTTTGTTCTGGCGTGAAATATGGGATTGTTTGCCAGGGCGATTGCCGAGGTGTTGTCGCAAAAAACTGTAGTGGATTCCGGTTGGGGTGTATGAAAGTCTTCTAAGAGTTGGCGAAGCCATAGGATCTCGGTAGTTTCCATGGCAAGTGCCCGGTATTCTGCTTCGGTAGATGACCGGGCTATTGTGTTTTGCTTTTTGACTTGCCATGAGATTAAGGAGGTACCGAGAAAGTTACAATATCCTGAGATCGACTTTCTATCTTGCTGATTACTGGCCCAATCTGCGTCAACGTACCCGCGGAGTGTTAAGTTGGATCGGTTTAGGGGAATGCCGATGTTAGATGTGCCTTGTAGGTAACGAAGTAGACGTTTTAAAGAGTCTTGATGACTGTTCAGAGGTAGTTGCATATGTTGGCTCAACTGTTGGACGGCGAACTGGATGTCCGGCCGGGTAATTGTTAGGTATTGCAAAGCGCCAACGATCTGACGATATAGTTGAGGATTGGCGTAGATCTCGGTTGATTTGGACGTAATGGTGGTTTTACAGGAGATCGGTGAGGCCACCGGTTTTGCTTGCTCCATTCCTGCACGCTGAATGATTGCTTTGGCGTAAGATTGTTGGTGAAGCAGGATACCAGATTTTGTCTTGATTGTGTGGATACCCAGGAATTGGGAGAGGTTTCCAAGATTCTTCATCTGAAACGAAGCGTGGAGATTAGTAAGTAATTTATGTAATTCGGGTGTAGAGTTACCTGTGAGCAAGATGTCGTCGACGTATATTAGCATGTACAGCCGGATGCTCCCAGATTTGTACGTAAAAAGTGATGGATCAGATGCGCTGATCTTGAAGCCATAATCGATGAGGTGGTTGGAGAGTGTGGCATACCACACCCTTGGTGATTGTTTTAATCCATAAAGAGCTTTCTTGAGTTTGCAGATGTGAGTTGGATGCGTTGAGTCTTGAAATCCCGGGGGCTGAGACATGTAAACTGTGTCGGAAAGCTTTCCGTGCAAGAAAGCGTTGGAGACGTCAAGTTGATGTATGGTCCAGTTGTGATGTAGCGCAATTAGAATAAGCACCCGAATTGTCGGCATTTTAGCAACTGGGCTAAAGGTTTCGGTATAGTCTATACCGTATTCCTGATGAAATCCTTTTGCCACGAGTCGAGCTTTGTGCCGGGCAATTGATCCGTCGGAGTTGTATTTTGTGCGGAAGGTCCATTTTGATCCCAGAATGTTCATTGCAGAGTTTGGTGGAACTAATTCCCATGTGCCCTGGGCTTGAAGTGCTTGGAACTCTTGAGACATTGCACGACGCCAGTGTTCGTGCTTAACAGCTTGATTGTACGTGGTTGGTTCAGCTGGCTGAATAATGTGCGTGAGATCAAAGATTTTCTTTGGTTTGGAGATTCCGGTTTTGAGTCTGGTCAGCATGGTATGCGTAGGTTGTGATGGTGGATGAGGTAATTCTGGAACGGGTTGAATGTGTGGAGTGTTGTGAAGTGATGTAGAGCTGATATTGGTGTGTTGGTGGCTGGTGGGTGACTGGACGGTTGAAGTGGAGATGCTGGTGGATTGTGGTGGGTTGATATGGTGCGGAAGTATGTGTAAGGATTCTGGAGCGAGAGTTTGTGGTAGGCTGATGTTGGGAACCAATAGCAGGGGAGGTATAGAGGGATGTTGAGTTTTGTGCTGGGCGTCCTGGGCAGATTGGTCCGAGTAAGGAAAAATGGTCTCGTTGAATATAACGTTGCTGGATATATAAATTTTGTTGGACCGTAAGTCCAGGCACTTGTACCCTTTTTGATTGAGAGGGTAACCGATGAAGATGCACGGGTGAGAGAGAGGTGATAATTTGTGAGAGGTGTACGGTTTGAGCCATGGGTAGCACAGGCATCCGAGTACCTTGAGATGATTGTAATCGGGTTGTTTGTTATGCAGGAGCTCGTATGGAGATTTGTGGCTAGTATTAGGAGAAGGCATGCGATTTATAAGATAGTTTGCAGTGAGAAGCGTATTTACCCAGAGGTAGAGCGGTAGGGAAGCTTGGATGAGGAGAGCTCTAGTGGTTTCGATTAGATGCCGGTGCTTGCGCTCTGCGACCCCATTTTGGGATGGAGTGTGCGGACAAGTAACTTGATGAGAAATGCCAGTGGTTTTGCAATGAGTCTGGAATTGTTTATTAACGTATTCTCCACCATTATCAGTGCGAATTATTTGTATCGTTTTGTTGAATTGCCGTTCAACGAATTTTTGAAATTCAATAAACTTAGAAAAAACCTCAGATTTATGTACTAAGGGGTAAATCCAAGTGTATTTTGAGAAGTCATCTATAAACGATACATAGTAGCGGTAGCCTTGAGCCGGTACACTGGAGAAAGGCCCCCATATGTCTGAATGCACTACAGCAAACAAAGAAGAAGTTACAGATTGAGAAAGAGAAGTAGGTAAACGATGGCTTTTAGCCATTTTACATGAATTACAGTAGTGATCGGTGGGAATAGTTTGCACTGTGCTGTTGCTTTTGGATATGATAGCCAACGTTTGGGAGGACGGATGACCGAGACGTTGGTGCCAGAGGTCTGGTATATGTTGGACCGATAGAAGAGCGAGATGACTGTTGTTGCCGGCTTGTTGCTTGAACTGGAGAGGATAGAGTCCATTAATAGATGGACCCGTGAGAAGACGGCGGTGGGTCTTCCGGTCCTTGATTTCGTAGCCATGCGGATAAAAGGAAATAAAACAGTCGTTGTCGGCAGTTAGTTGGTAAACTGATAACAAGTTAAAGGAAAGATTGGGAACCAGATTAAGTTGCGATAGTTTCAGATTACCTGAGGGGGTGGGTAAGAGACCGTTACCAACGTTCTTGATCGGAACTTGCTGGCCGTTTCCAAGAGTCACCTGGCTGTTACCGTGATATGGCTGGTATTGTTGAAGGTAGTTGGGATCCGACGTGAGGTGTGTAGTAGCCCCGCTATCAAGAAACCATTCCGAGTTGTTGGTCGAATTGGATGGTGTGAAAAGAGCCGTCGGAGGAT